CATCTACTATATTATTTGTCACGTTATAAATCATTGTGGATTACCACGTCAGTACTGTAGACTGTCACATCAACACCGTAACTGTCAAACGACAAAAAAGTTGGTTAAATAGTTACATAGAGTTTGTTTTTAAAGTTTGAGGGCCACATTGAAGGAAATAATAATACAAGGGCCAAATTGATTTTTTCTCTCAAAAGTATATAGATTTCTGATGTCTTTTTTCATTAAAAATATATACAGGAAGTAAATTCAGAAAAGAAAATATATATATTAGCCAAAGAATTAAATGAGAGGAGAAGAGAGGAACATGAAGCCCATGCGGGAGCAATCATAGTCAAGAATATAAGATGCAGGTGGAATGTGGATAAGGGAGAATTAAACAATAAAAAAAGAAAGGAAATTAATTATATTTGTTTTTAAGAAAATGAAAGGCAAAGGAACAAGGTATGGTTGGGGTGTTCAAAATTTTGGTTAATTGAATAAACCGATCGAATCAGAAATATTTTTGGTTAATCGATTGGTTAATTTTAAGTTCGATCGGTTAACAGTTAATGATTTTTTTCAAAGTTCGATTATCGGTTAATTCGATTTGAAATCGATTAAATAATCGATTTAACTGAATTTTTAAAATATTTAATATATTATTTACAGTTTTAGGAGTGTTTAAATTTCGGTTTTAGCCGAATTGATAAACCAAACTAACTGATCTAATTAGCCGAATTAGTCAAAAATATTTAATATTTAATATATATTATTTAAAATTTTAATTAATTCTGTTAACTGACTAATTAACTGAACTTTGTTTGATTTTATTAATTATTTTTAAAAAAATTAGTTTGATTAACAATTAAAACAAAGGAAATAGTTAATAAAAAATTTAATTTGATCCGTTAATCGAACCTACGGATAAATCGATGACCCCTATTAAGGGTATGGAAAGGGTAAAAATGGTTAGTGTGGAGAAGAGAATTAAAAGAGGGTGGAGTGTCAAAGAGCTGGTTAATTAACCCTATTCCGAATCCTAACCCCAGCTGCGGTTAGCTCTTTTCTCTTTTGTTTTTTGCTCCTTCCACTTTGCTCTTTTCTTATTTTTCACCTTGCAAACGTCAACGTCTCTTCCATACCATTCTTTTTTTTTCCTCCCCTCAAATTGGATTCTTTAAAATGTTTTCATAATAAAGAATACTAAAATCGTTCATGCATTTTATAAAATCAAATAATTTCAACAAAATGAAAATTAATTAAAATATGACACTTATAAAAAAATATATTCAACACCACACAATGACAGATCTATAAATTTAAAAATGTGGGTCTAAAATTTTAATTTTCTTTCTTTAAAAATAATTAATATACTTAATAAAAAAATAGGTATATAATTATTTATTTTTCCCCTTTTTCCCTTAACACATTAAGTTAAATTTAACCATTTTCTCAAAATAATAGCGATGCACTTGGCCTGTACGGGGATTTAGTGCATCCGCCCTTGATAGCATACTATCAAAATGTATTTAAATTTTAAATTTTTAAATTTTTAAATTTTTATTTATTAATAATTAATTTCGTTAAATAAAGAAGAAATACAATAAAAATATAAAAAAAATTCTAAAATTAAAGTAAACTAAAACACATTAACTAGTCATCTTTGTTAAAATCATCTATGTATACAAACTACTCACTAAATAATAAAAATATGATGATATAAAAAATAGTGAAAAATTGAATTAAAGAACTCAAAAATAACAATACATACAAGCAAATATCGTCATCAAACGTGAAAGATAAATACCAATTGCTTATAATTTCTTGAGCTGATAGTTAAAATCTCTTAGTTGACATCTCTCATATTATTTAGATTGTGAATTTAACATTAGTTAAGAGTAAAATTCACATCCCTCTTTCCCCTATGTAGGAATTATACTAAAAAAGAAGAATATATAAATACGAATTAAATCTAACATAAAAACACGTATAACAATAATGATATATTAATAACCAGACTTTATCATGACTTAACTAATATATATATTTGATAATTATAAAGTTTTATTAATAAAATATAATCAATTCTATGATCTAAAATAAAAGTAGATCAATAATATAATTGAATAAATTACGTCAAGTATAATTATGAGAAATAAAAATATATAAAAATTATATAAAAACGTTCTACAAAAATAAAATATATTATTTATTATTTTTCTTGAAAAATAAAAGATTTATTAAATAATATAAAAGAATATATAAACTTTAGGATTGTAAAAAACCCTAGCTTCCTTCTTCCTCCTTCAGTCTCTTCCTTTTTTTTCATTCTTTATAATTTGTGTCCATTTTATTGATCAATCTAATTTTTTATTCTTTAATTTTGTTTAATCGATAGTAACACCGATTTTGATGCTGGTTTTCGTCGATGATTATCTTTTTTATTTGTTTTTTTTTTATTTTTTTTCATAAAATTAATTATATTTTTGTGACATGTTCACTGCCTTTATGACACGTTTATCTCTGTCTTTGTGGCATGATTTTCTCTACATTTTGGTAGCTTAGAGTTTTTTGCCCTTTTTTCCGTTTATCTTTTTTCACAGGGTTATATATGACATCGCCACGACTGATCAATATGCGCTTACTTGTTATCCTACTGATCTTCCCTGCTTTGGACCGACAGATTGATTTGGATACGCGTTTTGCGCTTGTGGATAGTTTTCTCACGTCGCTTGACTCTGATTTGCGATTTGTCAGTGGTCTTTCACTAGTTTTATCTCTTTTTGTGGTTCATTTGCCGCAGTCGGATTTGTTTGTATCTTTATTTTATTCGAGCATTGATTAGGTTTTTAACCTTTTTTTTCTTTTATGGTCATTGTATGATCTATGTTGCTAGTTTTTGTATTAATGATTATAGAAAACTTACCTAATTATAATTTAATTTAAATTTACGGTTATACTCGTAAATCTTTATTATAATTTTAGATATTTTATATTTTTAACAAAACTAACAGCTATCTATAAAAAATAATATAAAAGAATATCACTAAACTTACAAATTCAAAATAAAAATATGATAGAAGTTAGTTAAATATAAAATTAGGAAGGGTGAAAAAGAATAAAAAAAAACAATTGATTTAAATTTGATATTGCCATCAATAAGAAAAAAATAAAAAATAAAACACGAGCGATACAGAACGAGAAAAAATAGAATGCTGTTAGGATTTTATATTTTAATATAAGCTTACTCGTAATAGTGCTTCAAAAAAAAAAAAAAAAGGAAAATCTGGTCATGATAGTTGACCTCTTCAAAATTAGTCGACTTGCCTTACAACTCAACTCGAATTATTTGTGATTATACACTCCTTTCTAAAAAGTGGTATTGAAAATTCGATATGAATTATATAGAGACTAAATACATAAAAAAACCAAGAAATTAATTTGCGGCTTTATTCTTCTTCTTCGTATTATTATTATTTCTCCAACTTATTCACTTTAAATGAACAATAATATTATACATTTAATGAGTTTTTTTAGGAAATAAATTCATAATTTGGAGATCTCTACGGAAGCTGCTCTCAACTTGACGTTGAAAGTAACATACTATCTTACCTCCCCTACTCATTATATATGTGAATGAGGGTCAGCTCATATATGTGTATTGTGAATATTGTAGTAGGTCCATTATTTTAAATATATTTTTACTCGTTCTAAATTGATTGTATTCACTTGATTCAAACGCAATAAATGATACCAGCTGTAACATGAATCTCCTTATATGGCATAATGTTTAACCTAATGGCACAAAAGCAAAAAGGAAAAGGAACTCGTATCAATGCTAATTCATAAATGTCATCATTGTGTTATGAATATGTCATTTTTAGCGTCCTAATTACAAGAATGACACTAATTTCATAACATATTGAACTCATTTAATATTGAATGCTCACACTCTTTGTATCTATGATGTTCAAACCTAAGATCTTAAGGAATTACATACATTATTCGTTGGACTGCTGGTAGAAAAATTAGTTTCATGAATATCTCTGAGATTAAAACAAAGATAGCACGAATCAAACGATCTCAATGATTAAAAGAGTGATTGTTATCTCTAGAAGTTTTGAATTCGAACACCAATAACTACAAAGTATTTGAACGTTCATTATTAAAATGTTGAAAGACTTTAAAACAAATACTATCAATTGTAATCAACCTAAATTAATAAAAAAAATATCTTTATAATATATTTAAAATTTTAAAAATTAAATGTAAACGTATTAAAAATGTTTATAGAATATAGTTTGTTGATGATATTACATTAAATAATTGTAAAAAAAATCAATAACTTTTGTGAACTCATTAAAAATAATATTCAAAATTTAAAAATGAATCTTATACATTATTATAAAATTTAGTAAAAACATGCAATATTGTTAAAAATATTAGGGTAAATTATGCATTTAGTACCTAACTATAAGTTTTAGTATACTTTAGTTCATGAACTTTCATTTTTTTCAAAATCATACCTAATGCTAAATTTTTGTTTCATTTTAGTACCCACAGTTAAAAACCTAACGCATTTAGTACCTAAACTATCAATTTCAGTCTATTTTAATACCTAAGCTTTCATTTTTTTTCAAAACTTAACGCTAAATTTCAAACAAGGTTACTAAAATAAAATAAAAAACTAAATCTTAGGTATAATTTTTAAAAAATTAAAAGTTTAAGAATTAAAGTGGATTAAAACTGATAGTTAATATACTAAACTCATAATTTATCCAAAAGTAAAAAATAATCAATGAGAATGACTTGGTACAGCCGCAAACAGTAATAACGGCAACTTAGTACGGCATGGGGAAAAATCCCTAAAAGTTGAGAGGTATAATCGCAAAACACAAGAACTACAAATCCCCGACTCTGAAAATACGCGAAATTTCAGAATTACTGACCTTTCCCCTCACCCTATAAATAGATTGCTGGAGTGAAGCTAGGTTTGCCCAACTGAACAGCCAAACGCCTTGAGAAATATAAAGCTTCTCTCTTTTTTATTTACTTCCGCTCTTCAACGCCCTAAAAATATGGCGGCATCTTCTAGAAAATCAAGTGGACGGGTTCTCCGTTCCCTTTCACCATCGGGCCGGTTCAGTTCTCACTACGCTTCACAGTCTCCATCTTCTTCTTCTTCGGCTTTTGCTTATTCGAGTTCAAGTTTCTCTTCACGCTCTTCTACTTTCTTTAATCAACAGAGATCTATTTCTCCGCCGCGTGTTAATCTCTATAACCACTCTCCATCGTCACCGTCCGTGCGATTCTCGCTTGATAACCGTCCAATCTCGCCGAACCGTTCGATTTCAGCTGTACGTAGAAACATCGAGGCGTTAAAGAATTTACAGAGCAAGCAGCCAAAGCGTACTTGTATGTGTTCGCCTACGACGCATCCTGGATCTTTCCGTTGCAGTCTTCACAAGGGTTTCAATATTCAGCACGCTTCGTCCGGTTACGCGCCTAATAATCGGCTTAACGCGCGTAGATCGGCGATGACAAATTCACTAGTTAGAATTGGAGGAGTCGAGGGAGATTTGGTTAGGAGAGCTTTGTCGGCTTTGATTAGGCCTTCCTCACACCAGCAGCGTCGACGTGCAGATTTTCAGCCGAGGCCAAGCCGGCTCTCCGTGATGTCTAAAGCCGAGGATTGATGAAGTTTCCTTTTGTGGTATGTCTTATTTTTTTTTCAAGCTTTTTGGTTAATTCTCCAAGATTTTCCGGTGATTGGAGATCGAGCTGGGGAGGAGCGCCTCATATGCTGTTGATGGAGTCAGAATCCGGCGAAGAGGTTGGAGATCTGGTCGAAATGGTTTTTGATTTTTAGTGTTCTCTGGGTGGCAGAAACCGTAGACACAGAATACCGTATTATCATTTACTTTGTTGGTGTAAATACATATCTTTGCAGCCAATGGCAAATTAGAGGAGGTTTTGGACAAAAAATCTTAACACACTCAGAAAAACTAATCTATTCCAATCTAATCGCACTGAACCAAAATCTAAAAATTTGATCTCGTATCTCAGTTTTGATTGGTTTCAAGGTTTGCTTCTTTCATTCGATTTGTTCTCCAAACACCATTCAATTCAATCCCAGCACAAAATTCTCGTTTTCCGGTTCAAAGTTCTGCACCTTCTTCAGTTGTCTCCTTTTCTCTTTCGAATCGTACCGTCGATAGTTTTATCTTTTCTATTCATTCTTTCATCTCTTCAATTTTTCTTGTTAGTTTTCTTACATCTAAATTTTTATTTTGATTTACTGTTAATAATTTCCATTTTTTGCAGGCATTGGAATTGGACATGGCGGAATGTACAGATCTTGATTTTCTTGGACCGCTTCAAAGTAGTGAACATATCATCGGATTTACTTGGACAAACTATGAAATAAACTGAACGTTGGATAAGATTGAGCTGAGCCTTTGGGAAACCGGAATCCATTGATATGAAGGATTAAAACTCCATAATTTTAAATAGAAACTTGAGTGACGGCATGAACCGTTATTGAAACTAAAGGTTGGGTGGGTATTTAACCGGGAATACTAAAAAATCTGAGGAACATATAATATGAAATTGATGATTGGTAAGGGATAGTCCAGATGAGAAAGGAATAAACGAGAGTGAAGTGTTATCTCTCTTCTCTTCAACGAAGGTTTCATACTAGGAAAGTTATACGGTACATTAATACATATTATGTCTTTCATTTCCTCTCTAATGGAGAGATTCTAAAAAAAAAAAAAAACTATGTCTCTTTAATAGTTATAGATGCATAGGAGTTGGGCCATCATAATTTATGAAAAACGTTGTCAGGTCATTGTAAGGCTCACACAAACACACAGTTGATTTTAGCAATCACATCAATTCAAATAGCCCACAGAAACATTAACTAAATCCGATGTATTTACTTGGTGTTCGAGTGTTATTTAGACCTAATTACTCTTTAATTTATAGTTTTGAGAAATCAAATAGATTATAGATATTGTACTGAAATTAACATGGATATTTTTCGTTTAAAATAGAAATTAAATAGATAATACAAATTTTATAAATAAAACTAACATGGAACAAAAAAATTTAAAAAATTCATAATCGACTTTGTAGATTTGTATAAAACAAGTGGCAATGTGTTTTCTGGAAAAAGAAAAAGGAAAGAAAATAAGCAAAACAATTTGAGGAAACCGCCCCCACTTTATTCTCATTATTTCGGTGGCACCGAAATGGGTCCAGAAAGAGAAGTTCCACGATGAGAACCTTAAAATTGTAAAAAATGAGGGAGGACTAACTACACAAATAGTAAATTTATTATTTTATATCATCAAGAGCAATAACGAATTATATAAGAACTCAAACAAAACATAAAAATGCAGTATTTTAAATATATATTTTTTTAATCTTCTTTATAATTCATTGATAAGTAAATTTTCATAATTAAAGAAAAATGAACACAAATAATCATTAAAAAGACTAGTAATGCTAATCAATTTAAGGCTAAACTATTTCGTTAATTTATGTATTAATTTTATCATTAAAAAGGCTGGATTGTGAGCCGAATAGTCCTTGGTGAAGTAATAAATAATCTACGTTGTTTACGTTTTTGTTTTTTCTTTGGAGAAACAAAGACGCACGTTACCCATCGGCGTTAATGAAGAATTTAAGGCTAAGATTGCGCAGTTCAAGGTGATCAGATCACTAACCCACGATTAAGAAATTAGCAGTGCAGAACCAGATGTGTCCAATTTGCGTTCACAGAAATATATTCGTTACTAATAAGTTCTTTCTTTGTTTGATTCAAGCCACATGGCGCGTTCGAAAGTGACGCTCCAAGCACGGTTCAATGATTCACACTTTTTTTATATTTATCAGATACTGTTTTTCCCCTTAAATAATTATATACTCTAACTTCATAAAATTAATAAAAGAAACAGTAATCATGTGATCCACTAATCATTCTGGCAACGTAAAACTGAACCAAAACAATCTGTAATTATATGTAGGGCAGTTTCTAACTAAATCTGGTATAAAAAAAACAGTTTTACACTTTTTAGAATCGTTGGTTAGAAGAGAAAATCAAATACTAAGATTATTAATAAAAAATAAAAATATTTTTATCAAAAAAACAAAGAATTGATATTAACCTTTAAGTTCCTTATTTAATGATTTAAAAAATATATAAAACTCTTAATTTTACTTGGAAAAAAAGTGTATCATGACCTATTATATATATATATATATATATATATATATATATACCCACCGAAATCCTTTGTGTTGCAAGAAGGGGATGTTCCATGATTCGTGTGGCACAAGTGTGTTCCGTGTGGAACATGCTCCTCCGTTAAAAAATTGAAGTGTTAGTCTCACCGTCACCTGAGAATGTTGAAAATTAAAAATTATGATAATTAAAAAGATTGTAATTACAATTGTAATGTGTGATGTTATTTGATCGATAGGCAATTGTTTACATACAAAAAATGCATAATGAAATGTCATTTTCTTATCCCGTTTCTAAAAATGCACATCTTTGATAGCAGATCGATAGATTGCCAGAGAGAATTACAGGGGGGGGGGGGAATGAAAACAGAAGCTCCAATAGACATGGAAATATGACGTGTTGCACAGTTACAACTCGCAAAGTTGTCCAAATGCCAAGTCATCACATTCTCCGACAAGACTTTAACCCTTGCTTACTTTTCCTTCAAACAAGTTCTTCTTTGTGCCGCTCAAAACTGACTTCTCTCTCTCTCTCTCTCTCTCTCACACACACACATCAGATTCAACAAAACGAACCCAGAATCTCCTGTTGAGTTACTAAAACGCCAGGCTCATCAATGGCGAACCTCAAGGCAGGGACGAGACCACCATGGGTTGGTCTGGGCGCTGCAGTCTGGGTGCAGATAGCATCTGGGAATGCATACAACTTCCCCCTCTACTCCCATTCCTTGAAATCTGCTCTGGGCTTTAACCAACATCAGCTGACAATGCTTGGTGTGGCCAATGATATTGGTGAAAACGTTGGACTCCTCCCTGGTATCGCTTGTAACAAGTTCCCGCCTTGGATTGTTCTTTCCATCGGTTCTTTTGCTTGCTTCTTGGGTTATGGTGTTCTTTGGCTCGCTCTTAGCCGAACTGTTCTGAATCTTCCTTATTGGCTGGTAAGTTTAGTTATTTACATCTGCACTTTGAGCTGGAATTTGATTCTATCCTTGATTCAGATGGGATTGTCTTAGATTTTTAACTGATCTGAATGCTTTTAAATATGAATTTTATCTGTGTCAATGAAAGACGATTTCTTTTTTGGGAGATAAATCTAAAGCTCTTTTAATCAGGACTCATAGTTACGCTTTACTGTAATGATCGACACAACTTTGGTAAAGTTGTTTTGAAATATTAGGAAAGTTCGTATTTTTTTCTCCTAGTGAAAACACTGTGCTTATCGGAAATCCATTGTGGAACTTGAGCTTTATCTTGCGTTGCTTGCTACTTTAAAAAAAGTAGGAAATTTCGTTGAAACCTGATGAAAGTGATGGTCCGAAAACTACAAGAAGTGGAATGGTAGCATGTGGTTCAAAACTAGTTTCCCAACAATTTTGTTGCGCTAAAAGAGTCCAAAATCTTTGCTTTAATTAGAGAAAACTATTCTTACCTTTCGGTTTCTTTCACATGTACAGAAACATATAGCTGAGGTGTAGTAGTAATGTTTAATAGCTTTTACATGTGAACCTAGTCCGGAAAAGACTCGGTTTGAAGAAGGCAAACGGTGATGGATCAATGAGAAGTAATATTTGATCCTATGAATTTTGCTTTCTATTCCTCTTTCTTTGTTCTTGATTTTGCTCCTATTGTCTCCAGATCTATTTGTAATATTTGTCTCCTAGAATTGTTAATAAAATTCATACTTGACAGCTCTCTAGTTACTTAAGAGCCAGGACTGAGTGTATCCTTTTAGTTTACCTATCGCCTGATCATACCTAACATGAACTAAAATATAAGTTTAATTACAATTTTAATTTCATTCTTTTAGATGGTTTTGTCAGTGCATTCCCTTTTAATCTTTGTATTTAAGATTTACAAATTTTATCCAGCATACCCATATTGGAGCAGGGCATGTTCTTTGCTTATCAATGTTGCACAGAAACATCAATTTCACCAAATGAAAATGGATATGTAAAAATTCAAAAATTATGTGTGTCAGTCTGATAGTTCTTGGTAATTTCAATCAGCAATTGGCTAACGGTTACTATTTTCATTTTCTACGATTCTGCAGCTATGGCTTGCACTTTGTGTAGCTACCAATAGTGGTGCTTGGTTGAGCACTGCAGTGCTTGTTACTAATATGAGAAATTTCCCCGTCAGTCGAGGCACAGTTGCTGGTATTCTCAAGGGGTATTCTGGGCTAAGTGCTGCAGTATTTACAGAAATTTACAGCACCATACTTCGGAAGTCCTCTTCTAACCTTTTGATGTTTCTTTCATTTGGTGTCCCTATTCTTTGCTTTCTCATGATGTACTTTGTTAGGGCTTGTACTCCCACCTTTCTTGCAGACTCCATGGAGCGTGGCCATTTTCTTTTTATCCAAGTTGCTAGTGTGGTTCTTGGCTTGTATGTTTTAACGACCACGATATTAGATCCTATTATTCATTTTGGTGCTGAGATTTCTTCTGCCATACTTGTCGGAATGGTTGTCCTTCTCATGGCTCCCCTTGCCATTCCCGTAAAAATGACTATTTGTCTCTCGAGGATCAACCAACCAGAGATGCCTAACCAACCAGTTGCACCTTCAGATGAAACGCTTCAAGGGGAAGGTAATGCAGATAAAAGAGAGCCACTGTTGAAGTCATCAGAATCTGCGACATACCTGGGAAGTTTTCGTGAAGTTGATGAGGCATTGGAGATGGACATGCTTCTTGCTGTGGGTGAGGGGGCAGTTAAGAAGAAGAGAAGGCCTAAAAGGGGAGAGGATTTCAAATTTACTGAAGCTGTAGTCAAAGCTGATTTCTGGCTTCTTTTCTTGGTTTACTTCACTGGTGTCGGTTCCGGTGTGACTGTTCTCAACAATCTGGCTCAGATTGGGATTGCACAAGGTGTACACAGCACAACAATACTGTTATCTCTTTTCAGCTTTTGTAACTTTATTGGCCGTCTTGGTGGGGGTGTTGTATCGGAACATTTTGTCAGGTAAGGAGAATACATTTGATTAACAAATTTATTTAAATATGCTACTTTTGTACTGGTTGCCTCGCTTCCAAGCTATGAACTCTCCGAGCATAAAGTAAATTTGGCATGCACCAATATAACATTTGTTACTTGCTGCCAAAAAGTAATATTTTTTCTTCTTAAACTGTTTTACGGAATTTTAGTGCCCCTGCCCCCTAGCCATTACGCTTTCATATGTTTATGCTTAGGTCACCTAATTATAATTTTTTTTTGTTATTTGCAGGTCAAAACTGGTTCCCCGCACCCTTTGGATGACATGCACTCAAATGATCATGGTCATTACATACCTTCTTTTTGCGTCAGCTATTGACGGTACATTATATGCTGCAACTGCATTACTAGGAATATGCTATGGTGTTCAATTCTCCATCATGATTCCCACTGTCTCTGAGCTTTTCGGTTTGAAGCATTTTGGTATATTTTACAATTTCATGTCCCTAGGAAATCCGCTTGGAGCATTCCTCTTCTCGGGGCTCCTAGCAGGATATATCTACGATACTGAGGCCGCAAAGCAGCATGGACTCAATCTGATCAGTTCAAGCATTTCGTGCATTGGTCCAAACTGCTTTAGGCTTACTTTCCTGGTTCTTGCTGGTTTCTGTGGTATGGGTTCAGTAGCAAGCATCGTTCTTACTAAGCGAATATGGCCTGTTTATGAAATGCTTTACGGACGGGGTTCTTTTAGGCTGCCCCAAACTTCTAATCACTGAGTGTGGAAGATTTCAATAGTTTTGAGGCACATCTTGGACTAGATATTCCCACTCTAAGTAGTATGCGAACTCTAATAAATGCAGTTTATGCCTGGATGCCTGTTTATTACTCAACACGCGCAGTGGGGCTCTGATTTTTACGAACCCTTTCTCTAATTGTAAAATCTATCTAGGAGAATGTTGATGCATAGTTGATAACCGATATATCCGAGCATTTTGTTGTTAATGATGTTGCAAGTTTGTGTGTACCATGATAACAGAGCTGCAAATTTTAGCTGAATGTAAAGGCAGCCCATTAAGTACTTATAATTGCAATCAACCTATACTTTTTCTTCATTTGGCTGTTTGTGTACATGAAGACTGAATCCTTAGGTTTTAAACACGAAATTATTGATAATTATCGTAAACAATTGTTGCCTTTGGCGATTAGTTGCTGATATCTTAAATTCTCAGCAGGCAGAGTTAAAACTCCTTTGCAATTGTAGACAAGAACTTTAAGGAACCATAGTTGTTGCGGGTGGAACATTTAAGATGATTTGAATGAGGGAGGCTGATATTCATTGCAACTATTTAAGACAGTGGCTGGCTGTTGTTAAAGAATTCGAATTAGCCGAATCGACAATATTGAATTGGAGGATGAAAATCGTTGAGTTCTTTTAATATGGCTAATAAATCTCGTGTCCTACTTTTTGAAGCAGCTAGTTAATGTCTACACCTCGAAACATTACTCTCGAGCAGCATCTGGTGTGAGAATTAACATCTATACAATATTGAAACTATCTTTTCTATCGCCTTAGATCAATCACTTTTCTTTACTTGCATACAACAAAACGCACGCACATATATATTAGTGTAGAAACTTTAGGTTACATGAATCCAGAAAGAATACAAACTGTCCAGTGCTAGGAAGTACTAATCTTATATCAGATTCACATGCATAAAAAAGCAGTTGTTACCAGTCATGTAGGGCCTATCACTGTGATTGGAGAGGAAACTTTTGAATGAGCATTACTTGACTTAGCCGACAAAAGTAAGAAAGATTGCTCAGACATGATCAAGTGGGTTTCATGTCCTGGAAAAGATCTGCCCACAATGTTTGATCATCATAGTCCTTACCTGCTTTTTCCTTGTTGTAATGATCACCATGAATCTTTGGGCTTGGAGTTCTTACAAAACTAAGAGGTACAGATAATTTTGGGCTACTACGGCCATTTGTTAGCATCAACCTCTCCTGTGCTGCCATTGCAATATCAGCAGGACCAGAAGTTATGGGGCTCGTGTAATTGAGTATCACCTTCTCCTGCATTTTTCTGTCAAGGGGCCCTGATAATTTCAATCTTCTGGGAGGGACCAACAACTTGTCTTGTCCTCTGTAATCCAAGGGACCAGATTTCGCTACCTTCCTTGATCTCAATGCTGTCTGCTCTATCCTCATCAGCTCCTTCTCGTTCTTGCCCTTCCGTGACAACGTCTGTGCCACTCTCCACTGATCTTGATGACAAACCGGAACCGGCAACGGCTTAATCGCATGATTATCTTGATGTAACAACTTGTTAACGTACTTGTTGAAGCACTTTCTTGTCTTGTTGATTGCCAAAATGAGCTTGGCCAGGCTGTTAGGGGCTTCTCCGGCTTCCTTCCTAGCGAGCTTGAGAATCTCCAGCCTATGCTTGGCAACTGAAATTCCCATGCTCTGAAGAAACTCATGGTTGAAGTGCGCTAAGTCCTCCTTTTCGAGCTCATTTCGAGAAAAGGCAAGGCCATACTCGTAAACAAGCAAGGGCTCGAGAGCAGTTTTTGATAACCAAGAGTACCAGTCCATTGCGCTGGTGCTTGCCGTAAACCTTAGGGTGCTCACAAGATGGGAGGTCTATATAAACTGGTTGCATGTGACAAGGGGTCCATCTTCAAATTGCAACCACGGATGCTTTTTAGTTAGGTCGTATTTATTGTGTTTGCGGTCGTCTTACTTGATCATTTAGGATAAATATTTACAGATACAACAGTAAGCAAATAAAAGAAAGGTGAAGAGTAAATAAATGTGAAAGGGGAGGGTGAACATATCTGTTTTATGATGTAATCGAAACTTGGCTGAAGCGAAATTGTGGAATTTACCCTCCCTTGTATTTTTCATTGTAAGGTTTCCCACTTGACTTCTCTTTAGGGCATATCCATCATATGTTTTCATCAATTTTTGTCTTTTATTTTGGGCTGCACTATAGGCACATGTGCTTGCTATCAACAAAATCTTCCAATAAAACAAAAACTATATCCAATTCTGATTATGTGTACCAGAGTTACAAAATGAAAATCATCACTAAAAAAATATGCATGCATACAAAAACGGATCGATATAATTTTTATTTTTTAAAAAATAATTCTTCACTAAACAGATCATATCATTATCTTATCAGGTCATATGAATTAAAATTCGAATTAAGATCTCTACCAGATGTAATTACTATATCGGAATAGCATATAGAAGCATTGATTGTTTGGAGGCGTAAGCACTACTTTGTGTTGGGAGATGTCAAAACAGTGAGCTACCAATTGCAAGCTTATGGGCATTGGCAAAAGGGATTGAAGTGGGCTGACTGACCGTTCCCACTTTTTGTCATCAAGAATGAACATGGTAGGGGAAGGGTGACCCATAACATGCATATTTAATTTTATGTCGGATGGAAAATGTTGAGCCAATCATGAATAGTAGTTGAATCAGAAATGCTGTTTTTAGTAGGCAGGCAGGCATATATGAAAATTGGCGAAAGGGCCTAAAAGTCAAAGAGATATGTTTGGAAGTGGAGGGCTTTATGCGATATGAAACCCCACAAGATATGTGTATGAATTCATCAAAAATCAAAGGCTGGCTTAAACTTAGCACTAACCACTGTCTAAAAAAATAGGGCTTCCCTACCCTACCAGAGGGTGTACCTAAGAGAACGAGGCCTAATGACTATCCGGAGAGAGTATTCATTGACGAAATTATATTATCTGGGACAACGGTATCAAATATCGAACTGAAGTATTTATATAATATTGTATTTGTATATTTTCAAAAAAAAATAGTGTATATATGAACATCACTGGAATATGAAAATTAAGTCATTGAAGCTAAAATATCATTCTTGCAGTGTAACATGCTTGCAATGTTAGAAATGGACAAAATAACATTCTTCAGATGTCTAGTAACAAAGCCAAGCTTTGTAGGATAACTTGAAAACGGTTTGAACAGAGTTGGCAATAAAATATTAAACAAGTTGGTTTTTACATCAACAAATCTGCTATAAAGGAAAGAACTGCATAAAAAAAAAATAGGAGCTCAAGAAAAACGTCTAGAAATTTATGTGAATCAAAAGAAGATTTGATTCACTTAACTGAGAATGAGTCGATTCCATTAATGGCTACTAAGAATTATGCTGAGATGAGAATCACCACTATTATATCCTGTAAAAGATGACAGTAAACAAAATCTACACTCTAGAATTTTTCCATCTTCACAATTCATTCGGAACTCTGTAATGCTCCACCATACTGAAGCCAATCCTTTGCGCAGATGAGAGCTTCAAGTGTCACTGGATGTAATGAACTGTGATAATTATCCATCTTTTTTCTCTCCGTGTCAAAAACATTATCAGAACTAACAGTAGAAAACGGGATTGACAATATATCAGAAGCCATCCTCCAGAGAATAGGATACTTCCTCTTGTTTAGTTTCCACCAGCTCAGAATATTGAAATCATGTTCTCGAGGCAAAAGCGACTCTTCGAGATATTGATCCAATTCAGATCTTGTTTGCTGGCTACCACTGATCTCGGAGATATAGACCTCAAAATCTGAAAGTCCATCTCCAATAGAAATAAGGGGATCCGAAGAAGGTACTTCTTGATGGGGCACTTCATGACAACCTACTTCCTGATGGGGCACTTCATGACAACCTACTTCCTGATGGGGCACTTCATGACAACCTACAACTTGATGGGGCACTTCATGACAAGCATCTTCTTGATGGGGCATTTCATGACAAGCATCTTCTTGATGGGGCATTTCATGACGAGCATCTTCCTGAGATGGTCCCTCTTGGAGGTATCCTTCTTCGGATAGTCCTTGAAGGTAGCCATTTTCAGGAGGTTCAATTTTGGGGATGATGCTCCCATTCTCTTCAGGGATACTGCTTTCATTCCGTTCTTCCACAAATGTTTCAGGTGGGGGAACTTCTTGTATGGTATATTCATGGTAGAGCTCATGAATCCCATCATCGACAATCTTAATCCACATTCCAGCATCATCACCGTATATCCTAGAGAAGCTAAACTCAACGAGTTTCATTTTGAACCTTGGATCCATTACCACAGCAATTGCCAAAACTAAGAAGCAGTCACTCCAGTATCTATCAAACTTCTCTTTCAAAGGCTTGGTCAAGTTGCTGATAAATGGGTCATTGCTCATTGAGGCATGCGTCAACTCTAATTGAACTTTTGACACTTCATGATAGAATGCACTGGCAGTTGGGTATGTTTGGGCAGTTAAAATACTTACAGCATCAAAGAAAAGCTTCAAGTATGTGCAGAGAATTTCTATTTGCTTCCAATCATCCATTGTTGGGGCTATATTATAATCAGGAAAGGTCGTCTCCAAGCACAGAAATACCTGCTTTAGTTCGCAGGCAGCCACCAACATGTCATACGTTGTGTTCCACTTTGATTGATCGTCAATGAATATGTCTTTCGTGCTAGGCTCCTTAAGTTGTTCCTTAAGATGGAAAAATGTCTCTTCATGAGTATCTGAAGTTTTCACAAACTTCACACTTTCTCGGATTTTATTCACAGTTACCCCCACAGACCATAGTGCCTCTTGTGCAAGAAGACTTACTACGCAAACAAAGCAATTTGCAATCAATAACTGACCATGAAGCACATAAGGGTTCCTGCCAGAAAACAGAGCTCGTAGGCTTTCATTTATGTTCTCATTTGAGAAGGACTGATCAAGAGTAAGTGTAAATAGCCTATTCTCCAAATGCCATTCAGATAGACAAGAAACAACAGCTTGCTGTAAGGCACCATTTAAATCAAGACATGGTACTGTGACCACATTAAGCAAGCAGCGATGCAAATTCCACTCAGTATCAATGAATTGTCCTGTTACAAAAACATAACCCACAGTCTGATTTGAAATCCAGAAATCTAATGCAAGGCTGACCCGACCTGGAATTTCATTGATAAAATTGAGAAGGCTCTGCTTCTCTTTCAAGTACATTGCGACACAATCTCCTTGAATAGTGTTGAAACTCACCATATTGAACTGTGGTTGAAGAGTTCGCACAAAATCATTAAAACCAGGGTGTTCCACAATGTGGAGGGGATATTCATGCATTATGATCATCTTAGCTATCTCATGGTTGCAGTTTTCCTGGTTAAAAGGGATGTTTGCAATTCTCTGAGTTGTTCGTTGTCTTTTCCGTGGTTCATTAACAGCATTACCAGTTTTAGGGTCTGGTGACTGTTGATTTCTCTGACGACTTACAGGGCAGATACCCAATGCAATGTGTCTTTTGAGGTGGCTAGTTCCAGCTAGCTTTGAACCAGTAATGTAAGCAAATGATTTTTTGCACTGATTACAGAAGGCCCTGATACATCCATCTCCAACAGTCCCCACAGTAAAATAATCCCAGACAATAGACTTTTTCCTCCTCCGTTTATTCGGCTTTACTTCAGAACTAAGCGGCTCGCCATTCTCAGTAGGAGTAATAGGTGTATCAGGCATGGTAGCAGGAACAATTGCAGTCTCCATATCAATGTACAGTCCTGCAAATATCAAAGGCACAGCTAATTATAAGTTCTCATTTAGATAATGATTATGTTAAAAAATGTAGACGGAAAAACACGAGGCAGACCACATGAAGACAACAATATGTAGTAGCCAGATAAGAATGATACAAAGTGATTTGAAGACATCCAAAGTTTTGATATTCACATTAGACCCTAAACTTATCGAATAAAGAGAATTCCCAAAACGTCTGCACTCCATTATATCTTATGGGCAGTAGATTCTGCTTCACAAGACAATACATATTCATATTTACAAACTAACAAACCATAAGATCAAGTGATCAAGATCTGGAGCCGAAACATAAATGAAAACCCGTTGTAACATAAAAACGAAATAACTATCAGCTTATCACAAACTAAAAGACCTAAAAAAACGTGGGCCACACTAAAATATCATGTGTAGAAGAAGGGGAACTTATTAAAAGATGCAGATAAAGCCAGAAAAAAAAATAGCCAGAAAATCAGAAAAAGCAATACAAGAACTACGAAGAAATAGGATTTTGAGCAAAACCCATTAACGCCGAGAATAGACAGCATCGTACAAAAATCTATAATTCCCAGTAAAGTCCATATAAACTAAGAAACAAGGCATCGAAACATAAAATTACGCTGAAATAAACAAAACCCAGTATATTGACCAAAGATTATGTACCTTGTTTCACCGAAAAGCCCGGAAGGCAGATTCGAAACAAAAGTTGTAGATTTATTTGATTATTCTTGTTTTCCTGAAACTGAAATAAGTAATATATATATATATATAATATTTTGAATATCGGGTAACGGAGGGAAGCGCAGAGGAGGAAGAGTTAGGTTAATTGGGCTGGAAGAGAGGCGGGAGAAAGTTCAGAGCTTTCTTTTTGTTCGGTGAGAGTAAAAAGCCAAAACCCTAAACTAGGGCTAAAATAATATCAGAATTTAGGGGCGCTTTTCTTTTTCGTTCGGAATTTAGGCCGCACTTATAGATGGCAAAGGAGAAAAAATCATAATTGGATTTGGA